GAAGGTACATGAATATGCACATGTTTTACTACCAACTGGAATGAATAATCCCCTTTAACATTTTGATAAAGGGTTTTCTCAAATGTTCCACATCCTCCCTTGTTCCTTCCAGTGCATCATCTAGATCTTGCATCAGATCTTCATCCATTGGATGGAATTCCAGTCCACCATAAAATACCTTCTCATGCTGTTCTGAGTCATAATTCTTTTCAAGCAAGTTTAGGTTTGGCATTAAGAAAGATGGCAGATTTCCTTGCTCAAGACAATCATCAAGGAAGTCATAGATAGCCTTCCCCCAGGCAATCACCTGGTCTTCTGATGTATTCTGTATATCAAGGTCAATTTCTTTCTGGCAAGATTTATTTACTAACAGATAAAGTGCATTTTTCAAAAAGTAACTAGAGATAACTTTATCTGCCCAGACATTGTTATCTTCTGGCAGATTTACTGCTACCTCAGTTTCTTTGTGCGATGATTGTTCAGTATCACTTTCATTATTTCTTTCTTCATCAGAACTGCTTGGTAGTTCTTGCATGATTTGAATTCCTGGTGCAATTTTTGAACACACATAAGTGCTTCTCACAGCCTTTGCTAGAATGTAACTGGAACGTACATGCTCTGGAAGAGCCTGGAATATTGCAGTTTCTGCTGTAGAAAAAGAGAGACGAAAGTGCTTTTCTCCATGTTTGAAAAAACATTCACCATGTAGGGCCATCACAACGTGAACACCTTTTTCTTTCAATTTGGGATGCAACAAAGGGGTTTCACAAATATTTGGAGGCCAAAACAAGGGGAAGTGTACTGCAGGGACAAGATCAACACTGATCAGCAGATCTCTGTAAACTTGACCTGACCACTTGAGAGTAATTTTTGTAGCATTTGCACCCATTACGCAGACACTAACTGGTGCTAGAGAGGGGAGATCATTCCAGATTTCCTCCTCAAAAAAGGCTTGGTTTAACTGACCACTGAAGTCATTGATCAACTTTGCACTCCTTAAACTGTTGTTTTCATCCACATATTGCATAATCTCATGAGAAGCTGACAGGCGCAAATCAGGTTTCAGTTGCAGTTGACAAAACATTGGGGGACTGGATTCCATGTTTGGCTCCTGGAAATGCTTCCCAAGTTTCACCATTGTACATAAGAAGTCAAATTCATCAGGAAATCCACACTTGGTGCCTTCACTGACACTACCAGAGATCTCAGGGACAAACGTAAACAGGGGATAAGCTTTTGAAACAATTCCTGCCACCCGCTGAATAACTTTGTTCACTGCAAATTTAATTTCTTGGCTCTCTGGAATTACTTGTAGTCTGCCAATGACTGGTGAAGTCAATAGTTTTTTCAGAGTTCTGTTTGGGTGTCCATTTAGAGAGAAGTCCTTTGACTGCATCTTTTCGACATCCTCTTGCTTTTTGATGTCATTGAATTCATCTTTGAGTGGAAAAAAATCAGGTAGTTCTCCGCGTTGAAAACCATTGTCCAAACACAAAAAATAATCTTCCAAAATATCGATTAGTTGTACATATCCAAAGTACCTTGCCCAGTGGATTGGGGTTTTCCCAGAATTATCTGGCTTTGACACTAAACAAGATTCACACCGATTCAATAAACATTTCAGTGCAATGGCATTGTTGTAGAAAACTGCGTAGTGAAGAACTGTTGCTCCATTCTTGTCCTCGATATCAACCACACAGCCATTCCCGATTAGCTCCCTTAAATTTGCTGTATTGTCCCAGGAGCACGCCAAGTGTAATGGGGTAACACCATTTCTGTCTTTGATGCCTAAGTCAGCCCCATGCCTGACAAGGAACTGCAAGAGAGAGCTCTGTCGCATTTCGGATATCACATAATGTACGAGAGCTCGACCAAAGATGTCTTGACTGTTGATTTTATGACCTTCCATCACAAAGAGTTTCACTAATTTTGAATGCCGCGATTTCTCCTCATCATATTTATCTGTTGGGTTGCTGCAGTCTAGATATCTCAACATATGCAAAGGTGTCATTCCTAAAGAGTTACTGCTGTTCACCGATATTCCTGTTGAGATCAGAAACTGCACGGTCTCTAAAGAAGCCCCTGTTTCGACCGCCTTATGCAGGAGGGTTTCACCCGTTGAGGATAGTGTAGCAGATAAATCGACTCCAAGATCTACAAGGACTTGAAGAACCTCAACAGCATCTGATTCAAACAGCTCCAAACTATGAAGCAGTTCGTAGGTTCCATTTCGCATACGATCGGGCTTTTGCAGGGAAAATCCCCTGTCTACGAAAGTTTGGCATGCTTTTTTATTAGCATGCTCTAAAGCATGTTGAAATGGCAGTCTTCCTAGGCCGTCTCTACTGAACATATCCGCGCCATAGTTTAGGAGAAGCTGTACCATTCTGTAGGCCTCGTCGTCGTAAAAATTAATGCAGTGCAGAGGTGCGCTGCCATAATCATCTCTCTTGTTAGGATCTTCTCCCGCTTTTAAACAGTTTTCCACGGCTCCAAGACCAGTGTTGAGTATAACTTCACTGTGTAGTGGGAATTCCATGATGTTCTTTTGCTTCAAATCGATCCACCTCAAGCGTCTTATAAGCGGAATAAGGCTTTCTTAGTATTACAAGGTTCTTCGATTCTTTGTTTGCGCCAAGGTAAACAGATTCCCTCGGTAACAAGGGGAGGGGTGCACCATTAGTAAAGTGATAGGGGCAGGGGATGGTGGGGAATTTGGCTGATGGAAGAATTTCTTATTTCTCAAATATGTTTTGCTTGTTCTATTTTTTAGGTGGATATCTGAAAATACGGGTTATTTTACCCATTTACTCGATGTCGTTTTTTCTCTTGCGTTCTACTACGTACTTTTTTACGGGGATCTTTTTCTGTTTTTGCCTCAACCCCCCCTTGTTAGGGGTTGGCATTAGTGGCATTTGCACTGATGAATTTCCCTAGAGGGTGGGGAAATTATACGTTTGATTCCTTTGCCTTGCTTTGAGGTTGCGCAGTTTGTGCAGTTCTTCCTCTTTTGTCCAAAGGGATTGAGGATAATTATGTTTTTGCCCTTCGAGCTCTAATCAGGAATTTGCCACGAAAACGTTTGACGGACCTGCGGGACTCCTGCTGTTTAGAATTAGTTTCTGAACACCTTTACGGCTTAGCTCCAGTCAACGAGTCTTCAAGCTGTAAATCATTGATAACAATACACTGATTTTATTTGTACAAAAATGAACAAAGAATTTTGCTATGCGAAATATTATTTACAAAGTGTTTGTCACGAACAAGTCGCTGTGTATATGCACACGAAGTATCTCAAGTCTGATCAACATCGAGAGTAAGATCCACAACATTCATTGTTGTTTTGGTGGAGTTGCAGCCTCGCAAGCCAGCTACGAACGTGGACGGCTTCGGAACATTTGTTGATGACTCTCGCTTGGTTTGTGTTTCCACATTCCTGTAAAAAACAATATAAAGGTAGTCTCAGTACCTCTGAGAAGCGACACGAAATAAGGACAGAATCGCGCGCGCCTCGCGCAAGTTTCATAGCGCGCGCCCAATTAAAATTCGATAAGCTTGTAACAGCATGAGCGCGCGCGCCTCGTGCAGGTTTCACCGACATGCCATTCGCGTACTCTGTTTAAATGCGATAAACTTCCTTTTTTTAATCTAACATACAAACTTGCCTTCAGTTGTTCAAAAACAAGTTTTCACCAAAGCGCAATGATTCAATTCTCACGCGAATGTTCACCTTCCCTTTATATCAGTTTGGTTTTTTTTCCACGCGCAGAAACCTCTGACGTCAGCAAATGTTATTATGACGCCAATAATTGTCGCGGTTAACGCAAAAGAACCAACGCCTTAAGTTTTGGTCGGTAAAACATTCTTGGTGTCTTCTTTTTCTCCATCTTCTTCGAAAAATCTGAGAACCATTCTTTCCTAATCTCCCAGGTAAGTGAATAAGTTGCAAACATCATTTCAAAGATCGTCAAAATTTCAACTTGTGGCGATAAAAATTACGAAAAGGCTCGTGAAAAGTTGTTCAAATTATAACAATACTTACTTAGGGAGGTACACTTGTGAGTCGTTGTCTCTCCTAAAGTTACTCAGATTCGTCTGCACTGAATGAGTGATCTTGGTGCGGAGATTTGCCTGTTGAAACAAATAGAGAGTTGTACTTTCTCTTACTTCAACGGAAGAGACAAGCTAAAGAAACGAAACGTGTCAAGTACATTTAGAAATCTTTCCCCAAAGCCACAATTAGACTAATTTTCCTCGAAAAGTTGTGTCTTGACAAGTTTCCTAGCCATGACTTGTCAATAAAAAAAAATTGTCATCCAAATTTAGATAACTTGACAAGAAGCTTTCCAATTCTACACCTATAATACGCCAACGCTGCAAGATTAATAGATATTGCACAGGAAAACTTGACGATACAATGCGTCTTTCTTCCAACCCACCAGTTTAAGAGCTTTCCTCCTCAGCTCCCATTCATTCCACTCGTAAGACTTGACAATATTTGTCTCCATGAAGTGAGTGTCTGTTTGTGTTCCACTGTCACACTTAGTAACAGGTGCCTCGATCATCCGTCCAGGTTCTTTACCCTGATGCACAAGATCAAAGTTAAAATTCTTTTTGACTTTCGTATTCGTAGGTACCTTCTGCAGAACTTCAAGGGAACTTGTTTCTAAGTTATAGTATGATTAGACGGGGGGGAGGGATCCAGGAATTCTTGATAGGGGGAGAAGGGGAGTCCAATTATGAAAACTATTGACGGAAAAGTAACTACTTAATACTTCATATTGTTTAGTAAGTATAGGTAACAACATGATTTCGAGTGCAATTTGGCGTCAATTAGCTCTAGTAAATTTTTGAAAGACGACAGAATTACATAAACCCGTAAATGTCTGTTAATAGACACAAAGTAATCAATAGTTTACCTGGGCGTAAGGTGTGATGGAGGCAAACTGTGTGTGAAGCTCCAGCAGCTGAATAAGTTCGGGAGATTTCTTAGCCGCTTCTGCAACTCCATTAATGTAACTTCAACAAAACAGAGAAAGAGGGTGTTAATAACACAAGTCACATTCACTCAACAACGTTCATTTACCGAATACATTCGGCATTCTCCACACCAATTGCCGAGCGAGGTGAAGCAAAATCAAGGCAACGGATAATTACTAACGAGACATAGTTTAAAATTGCTCTCTAGTAGAAACAAAAATGCAAAGAAAACAGCGCGAAAGAAGAGGCCTATATACCTTTCAGGAGCATTGGAGAACTCGTAGGCAGCTTGTTTGTCACAGAAGGCGTAGTAATTGTCTTTATAACGTAGAACACCGATCCCTGGGTTGGACGGGATTAATAAACGATCATATACCACAAGCGACCAACCACAAAAACCCTGAAAGAGAGAAATATCAAAATGAAAAAATGCGCATCAAATTGCGTTAAACCGAAATAAAAGTAAAAACTTTGAAATAATCATTTGCCAGGCTAGACAAGCTACAAAGACCAATAAACCAAAGAGAAACAAATACAGTTGAGATTTAAACGGATAGTAAAAGACAAAACTAGACAAAATTTTGGCTAAATTTTTAAAGATGAACAAACTGCATGCGACACGGCTCTAAAAGATTACATGACCTTACATCGACATCGCTAGCCAAGACCATTTATCAGCACTTATTGCCAATGATATGACGAAAGTTTCTTAACTTGTTTGATTAAGCTTGCAAATTTACATTTCCATAGACCACGTTCATAGTCTGTCGCGGGAGTGAATAGAAATCGGCCGAAGAAAAAAAACTAAGTAATGCGTAACTGTTGAAGCGATCTACGCGCAGTGCTTTTTTTAAGTCGCGCAGTACTGACTAAATTTTTCGCTGATTTCCATCGACTAATGCGATGGACTACACTGGCCGGGGAGGGGAGTGTAATATTGTTACATACTGACCCGGTACTGTATTGGTAGCTTGTCAAAGTTCTTTGTAGTCTCGTGAAACAGTAGTTCAATCTTAGGATTATCGATTTCTTTGCCATCAATTCTATCATCGTCTGAAGAACTCTGATAGAAACAAATCACCATTATTAACCTGAGAATAATGAAATATTCTAGACCACTGAAAGCCAGGGTAATTTAGAGCGGGGATGGCACAGTAGTGAGAGCTCTAGCCTCCCACCACTGCGGCCTGGGTTCGATTCCCAGACCTGAAGTTACATTTGAGTTTTTTATGGTTCTCGACCTTGCTCTGAGGGTTTTTCTCCAGGTCCTACGGTTTTCCACCCTTTGCAAATACCAACATTCCCTATTCCAGTTTGACCTGGAAACAGTAAACGTGAAGAGCCACCTCGTGGAATGTCCACTACTACATTTCCATCTCTATTTCCATGCCACTATTCTCAAGTAAGATCACCACTTACATCTGCCAGTCTTTGATCATCAGTTCTGATTTCTAATCCATCAATGTATGGCTGTAGAACTTCTTCTGTTAACACTTCCCTATGTATCTTAAAACAGAAAAGAAATTCGTGTAAAAACTCAACTTCACAACAGTGTCTCAAATAGCAAAAGAGCAAATTATAGCGGAGCTCGCAGAGCGTAGCCCCACAATTATACAAAATAGTAGTAACCCATCGAGCCGAAAAAATTTGGAGACCGTACGACCGTACAAGGTGCTACTTTTAACATGCGTGGTCAACTGTACCGCGGGCACGCCAACGCCACGGCTTTGTTCAGTAGTCCAGTGGTCAGTGCACTGGGTTCCGGGTCGGACGATCCGGGTTCTGGTCCTGGCCGGGGCAAGGCGTTGTGCCCTTGAGACGTGCGGGGAAAAAAAAAGCGAGCTCCGCTTTTAGGCTTGGCTAAATCTACATATTATAAAAAGTTGAATTACGCAGGCATTTTGATTGGCTCTCACGTGAGATCTATTGGAGAACATACGCATACACAGCGTCACCATCAACCACATTCTGCTTTTTTTTATCATATAAAACAAATAAATTCCATGTTGTCGTGGGTCTGTTCAGTAATAGATCACAGAAAACGTCAAATGTGGTAAGAACATCAATGACACACTCTGTTACATAGATCGACTCTTAAATTATGTCTTTATACATCGACACAAAATGCAGATACTCCCCTTACCTTAGTGAAAGGTTCCAAACTCGCTAAGATGTTACTAAGAACACTTAGAAGGACCATTTCATCTTGAAATCCAGTCCACAAATGTGCCAGTGTGATAAATTGGGGCTAAACGTAATAAATGATAAAAAGTAAAGCGATTATACACGGCACAGACTTAACGTTGAACGTGCTTAATGAAAACGTAGTTCTCTTTTCTTTTCAGGAACTTAACGTTATTATAAAGCAATAGGAAATTACGGTCGGTTTACTTTTTCTTGTATAGAGTACTTACATAAACTTGTGCCGTTGGCACTGCAGTTTTGGACTGCACTGTGTTTTTCAAGGCTTCCATTCTGGCTGAAAACTGAGATTCAAGAGCTTCTACCTGTTGTGCACAGCCAACCACATCATTCTGTAGAAAGAGATTTGAAACGATTATAAAGATAACGCATTAAAAGACAAAGACAAGGACAAGTTTAGTCGGAAACCCAAACGAATTTTTTGTTCAGTGCACAGTTTTACTGAGTAGGGTACCTTTCAAATGGGCATCATAAACCCAAAACGAGATGTAACAACGGCCAAAGAAAAAGAGAAGAGAGAAGAGAGCTTAGTATAACAATTGGCCAACCGGAAATCGGGGTAGTTAAACGAGACAGCCTTCAAGCGCGGGAACTCGCAAGAGACTAAGGCGCGATTGGTTTTATCATTGCACCTGATTGGTTAAGAGAGTAGCACGAGTTTCCTAGACTAAAAAGTAAGCCAATCCATTCCATTTCGGATAGCCTTTGAATCTGATTGGTTAGGATAGTGGCAACTGAGCTTCCTCTGCCTATCACACAATAGGGAGTTTAAGAAAACCACGACGGCGACAGCAACGGGAACGTCACTAAACAAAAGGTTAAACGAGCAGAACAATGACTGTGTACGTGCGTTATAAATCTTTGTAAATTTATTTGCGTCCTCTGCAACACAACAAGGCTAAATGACCAAACTTTGCGTTGTCCGGAGAACGTGAATGATGACGGCTAGTTTTTCTAAATTTCTATTTCTAATTTAACGCTGTATTCCATATTCAGTCTCGAGATATTTCGACAGTGAAATAAAAACTAAATGACTTTAGAGTGTCAAGAGATTCGTAGGTAAAACA